ATCCATTCTAGAAGTGACGTCTCAGAGCTTAATGAGCCAGGCAGGGCACAGTCCACCCCAGCTGTCTCTTAGCTTCTGACTCTTCCTCTGGTCTTAACCTCAGGTCACCATCTTGTCCTGTCCATATCAGCAGCACCCTGTATCTGGCTAATCCCAGGCTGTGGAACACACACACACTCACACACACACCACAGACTTTAGAAACTACCCCCATTCTCAGGTCAGCTTCTAGAAAGTGCTTAATTTGCAAATACTCAATAGTCTCTAACTTGAACCTTGCGCTCCAGTGGGGCCAGCAGGTCCCTTATCTTCAGATTCCTTACTGTAAACCCTTGCCAAGCTTCTGACATTGGGACACAACTTTGTCATCTACAAAGTTCATGCTCTAGAACTGCGTAATAGAGTTGCAAAAACAGAAATAATAAGCAAAAAATAAATCACAAACCTCACCTCATAATGCTTTAACTACATTTATGATTTTGGGTTGGGGTTGCACTCATAGCTGGCCACAGGCTGAACATGCCTGTTTTAGAACAATGATTTTCTCTCAAACTCCCATTTGTAGGGAGGTGATGCCTTTATCCAAAGCCAGGGTGTCAACATCCGCCCTTCTCAACGACAGTCACAGGCCCTGCACTCGACAGTTTCCATCAGTACCCATGTGTATCGCAACACCTCACAGTGACCCAGCTAGACAGCTAGATGGCACAGATCTAGGATGGCTCCCAGGGGTGGAGCTGGTCCCAGACAGGATCATCAGACATTCTGTCCTCTATTTATCTGTCTGTCTATCTATCTGTCTATCTATCTATCTATCTATCTATCTATCTATCTATCTATCCGTCCATCCATCTGTCTGTCTATCTGTATCTCTTTTGAGATAAGAGTCTTATATCTTTGGCTGGCTGGGAATTCACTATTTAGACCAGACTAACCTTGAGCTCACAGAGATCTGCCTTTCTCTGCTTCCTGAACACTGGGATTAAACATGTGACCTGCTATACCCAGCTGCTTTCTTCTTTTAAAACTTTCTCCTAGTCATCCTTCAGCTCCAACCATCTTGTCAGCCACCCCCTCTCCACTGTCTACCTACTTCCTTTGTCCCATCACTGTCCCCATTTCAAGTCTGCACATATAAAAGAGATTGCCAGGCCTGGGAATCAGAGAGCAAGTGTCTCTGCCCATCCCAGAAGTTAACAACACTCTTCTCCCTTCTAACAGTACAAAGCCAAGCCATGCTAGAAACCTGTTAGCCTCCTGCCTCCTCCTGCCTCCTCCTGCCTCCTCCTGCCTCCTCCTG